AGTGGCTAGAAGAGAATAGAATTTACCTAGAATAAATTATGCCTATTTAGAAAGAGCAATCTCCATAGCCCTTATATGACTGATAATTAACGTATACCTGCCATAATATGTTATGTCAGTAATTGTCTAATACAAGAAAGGTAGATATTTACCGTATGTTGCTTTGAAATCACCTGAAAATCACATTGAAGCCCGACGTCCATTCATTACTTAATTTCACGTCACTCAAGCTTTCTTGATACGCTTCAGCTTCTTAAACCATAGCCTTTTCCAAGGTTACCGTAGAATAACTCGTAAAAAATATTCTACAATATCTAGGATTTGTTGATTGCTAACTTAAGATTGAAAATCTTCGTAATAAGAATATGTTCCCATTTGTATCCGTCATCTATCCCACATCAAACGCGGGAACATTTTGAAAATCTGAGGCTGGAACGTGACGTCACGAATTGAAACAACAGTGTTCCAGTCATTTGCCTAAGATTGCCTCCTTGTACTAATTCGTTGTCGTTATCGTTATTAACAAGATGCTTSTTTTGTTGCTGTTACGTTAGTATTGCTGTTCGTTAAATAAATAAATTAATCAAAACACATCATTTTATCTTGCGATTTTTACCTGTAGGATGCCAAGTCTTGTCTTGATTACCTTCGAATKGGAGCCAACGAAGATGGTAACTATACCATTACACGCACCGATAATGGTAAAGAATCTAAAATCTGGTGTGACCTCAGCTCAGAGCCTGGATCTGCATGGACTCTCATCCTCTCGTATGCCCACAAGAACAGACAGGACAATGTATTCTGTTCGGCTTCTTTTACCAAAGACAAACAAAGGCAGGTCAATAATCCAAACTGGGAAAACTATCGTTTAGGTTTTGGTCGGATGAAATCCATTTCAGASCAATCAACACATGTCAGAGTGACGTCAAGTTTTCCTGTTTATGGTGTCGATTATCGAGACTACTTGAGAGCCAAGATTTCAAGTGTAGACATCTTGAGTTTTACTGGGGCTAAAGTCTGTAAGACTGTAGAATACATTGACATCCGAGGCATCAAGGGAAAAGATATCACAGTGCCATTCTGGCAAAATGATGTGTTTTTTTYCCACACCGACAGTTCTGRGAGMCMYTGCCAGTATGATGCCACCAGTGGATCRGTAAACAGTGAAAATAATTTTGGCACAACGTGCCTTGAATTTAACCCAGCGACTCGAGGAAGCGCGAATGACGASAGCACGATTCAATACTGGTTTGGTGGATATTTATAATCTACTGGATCTCATTTCCCGGAACGTCTGCATGAAAAAAAAAAGCAATACAAACTAGACTAAAATGCATTTTGGTTATAATAGTCATAATTTAAACTAGTGAATTCTCACTTTCTTAATATTACTGTCTTGTACGCATTATGTGTATTTCAGGCTTTAAAAAACTAGTTTCGTTGTTACAACCTCCTCAGTTTGGTTATCCCTATCTAAAATAAGATTATCAGCCGGCTATTTTGGCCGTTTTTAACATTCCCTCAGCAGATAATTAAGATTTTATTATTATCATTATAGTTATTATTCTGCAGATTTTCTTACTCTTACTATAACAATACAATGAGTACATTATCAAATATAACACTCAGAAGAAGGCGAAGAAGAAGAAGAAGAAGAAGAAGAAGAAGAAGAAGAAAAAGAAGAAGAAGAAGAAATACCGGAGAATCTTTATGTTAATATTTTCTC